TTGTAGGTACAACGCTTACTGGCTTCCATTGCTTGCCAAACATTCTGAATCTCCACTATTTGAAGGGCCTTTAGCTGTCCCCTTCGACTGTGAATGGATTTGGCATTGTCACAGATTGAATCCTGTACCTTCTAGACTTTGATGTGTATAGTTCATTGGTAGACTGGTTTATGTGGTTGAGTGGCTAACAAAAATTTTCTCAATTTGTGTAGGTGCGGTACAAATCAGATTGTGAGGAACTTTATGGAAAGATACTTGACAATTCCAATGTTGTATCGACCCTAGGAAGTTCTTGTCTAAGAGAAACCGAAGAAGTTTGGAATGAATTATACCCTGAAGAGCCTTTCAACTTCAACTTCAACCCAACCGGAGAGTATCAAGAGGATGCCCTGAAAGTGCTCTCGGGACTTGAAAAATATACCAAATATGATCTTGTTTCAGCTGTTAAAAGACAGAGCCCCTTCTTTTATCAGGTACTGATACTCGACTGATAACTTTATTTGCAAGCGTGCGTAATGAACTTGTCTTTGTGCTTAAAATGTCTTAGTCCCCCCAAAAAGAAGGTGATTTAAAAGATAGAAAATGTTCTCAATTTTTATATCCAATCACTGGAAGATTTGATCTTACAAGTTTGAACTTCTTCTGTATGATCTTTCTTTTAGTTTCCCTCAAGGGAACTTCTTGGGTTCTTTGTTTATTTTCAGCATGTTTGCCAATGATGACATTAGCATTTTTAGTAAAAATAAAATATATCATTTTACACCAATATTATTTAGAAAATACAAGTGCATTCAGATGATTAAACTTCCCGTCATTCATCATATGTTTTGTCCTTCAATTGATGTGGACAGGTGTCCCGACCTCATATGGACAATGAAGTTTTCCTTCAAGAAGCTGTGGCTAGATACAAAGGATTTCTATATTTAATCAAAAGCAACAGGGAGAAGTCTATAAAACGCTTTTGTGTTCCAACATATGATATTGATCTAATTTGGCATTCTCATCAATTGCACCCTATTTCATATTGTAAAGACTTGAAAAACTTAATTGGTATGGTATTGGAGCATGATGATATGGATTCAGACCGAACAAAAGGGAAGAAATTGGATACTGGGTTCTCTGGAACTACAAAACAGTGGGAAGATACATTTGGTACTAGGTACTGGAAGGCAGGGGCAATGTATAGAGGCAATAGCCCATCTCCTCTCCTGCTAAATTCGTATTCAGGTTCAACTAACTTGATTAAAGACGACATGGTTTCATCCCAAGAGTGTCAAAACATAGTTCATCTTCCAGAATTAAAGACGGTTGAGGTACCTCATTTTTCTTTATTTACTCTCATATTCCATTCCCGTTTTTCCCATGAATTTTTTGTGAAAATCTTAAGGTAACTGACACAAATGTATAAACATGGAAATGAACTTATCCTACTTCCACTTGTTATATATTACATGTTTCTATGTTCAGGTCCTATTGGAGTTTGTGGAAGTTAAAAACAAACCAGAAGGGTTGAAAGGAAATTTTTTTGTGCAATTTATGAAAAGTCAACCAGATGCAATATTCAGTGCCAAACGGAAACTGAGCATATTATCTGAGACAGGGGTGAAACAGGTTGCTTCTTTCCAGTGTGAACCTAAAGGAGATCTGCAATTTGAGCTCATCTGCAATAGGTCTTCCAGCATACCGATAACACGGACCAGCTTAACATTGGGCTCCATTTCACTCCCTCTACATGACATTCTTGTTCCAACCTCTAAGCTCTCAATGGAGAGATGGTTGGAGTTGAAGCCAGTTTCTGACCATGTAAGCTCCAAGCCAATTTCCCTCAGAGTGGCTATCTCATTCACCGTTCCCCACCCTGCACCACGGGAACTTCATATGTTTTTTTCTCGAGAACTGTCCAGATGGACTTCTTTTCTCCCTTCCTGCACAAAGATGCAGCACTCAAAGGGTTGGATGCAAGTCACTGATGAAGCAGGGAATGAGGTCATCAGCCTTCAATTGAGGTAAGGTGATTCTTCCTTTCTAGTAGCTCGGGAGTTGATGCTATATTTATGGTTACAAGTCGCCGGAAACAAAGATACATAGTCACTGCATAAGAAGCATGGACTCGAATATGAGACACAAATATGACATGACATGGATATGGAGACTTATTCATTGAAATTTGATAAACGGACATGGAAAAGACATGTTTAATAAATTACACAGTTTTAAAAAATATATATTTTTATACAAGTGGAAAATTCAAAGTAAATAAGTCTATGCATTTATATTTTGAAAAAAAAAATGAGTTTGATATATTTAGCTTGCAAAATTTATTATTTTTCCCATGTTATATCTATTTAGTATACATAACAAGGGTTTGATACATGTTTGTATGACTGTTGTCTAACACATATCTGTTGTGCTAACGAGTGTCCAATTAGTATGAGAGTGTTCCAAGTGTCAGACACTGATACACACTAAAGTGTTTGTGCTTCTTCACTCACTATGTTTCCTCTTATGTGTTTGCTTTATAATAATAATGTTGCAATTGCAGTTGATATAAATGCGGTCTTTGTAGATTAATCATCTTTGTAGACAATTATCCAAAGTCTTCAATGAGCAATCTTTGAACTCGTTTGACATCCCATTTGTGAAGTTCATAAAGTCAAGTTCCTCTATACCTCTAAAGCATAGAGATGCTTTTATTCGACAGATTGGAGTCTTGGATACCACTTTCCTACATTCCCAATGTCAATGACAATTTATATGACAGTTTTATAACTTGTTTACAAATATTATCATATAATTAAACTGCAGCTAATGCGGTTCCTAATTTTCTTTGTTTTCATTCTATTTTTATAAGGGATTCTTTGAAAGAAAAGGTAGGGAAGAATTCCGTTCCAACAAGTAAGGAGGTGATTGGCATAAAAATGTCCGGTGAATCCAGCCTTCTCGCTGAGTTTGTAAAGACAGGGTGGTCTCTGATTGATGGTCAATGGTTTCTTGATTTTCAAAAAAAATCCAATGAAGATGATCATCTTTTCAAACTTGTGGGCAAGCGGCTGGTATGTATGGTCCCTGTTGTGGTAATTTGATTCTTATTATTTCATGATGCTGGAGCTCTTAAAAGAAAAAACACTCTGCTTGTCTATTATCATATCGAAAAACTAGAAAATAAGCTGCTATTTTCCTTGAATGTTTAACTGCTAGAAAATAAGCTAATTATGGCCTTGAATGTTAAGGAGACCTTCATGTTTAAAAATAACATGTCAATGGAATAATCTTTTCAGCATGTAACTTTTCATCTTGATGAATTTAAATGTTATCTATTTTCTGGCAAATATTTTCTTGTATAGGTGAAGTTTTTCCAGGGCAGTAAGCTGGATTATGAGCCCAAAAATTGTGGTAAACATAACCATGATTCGGACTTCGTGACTGCTATCGAATTCTCTGCAGAATATCCGTATGGAAGAGCAGTGGCATTGTTCGACTTGAAATTTGGGGTCATCAAGGTATTACTGCTATTCACTTTTGCCTATTTTGCAAACTGAATGTTTGAGAATGATACTGACCGACTCTATATTGTAATTAAAAGATAAAGGAAGAGTGGATGGTGGTGCCCGGAATCATGACAGCTTTTCTTCTCCTTCATGCACGGAAGAAAAAAGGGTATAATGGCCTAACTGTAAGTGAAGAAAAATTGGAGGTTGCCCCTGTTCCTGAGAGTGTTCATACGTCTGGCAAGGAAGAAAATAATATGAATTTAATCAATGTATCCTTGTCAAGTACTGATTTAAAAGTCAATGTTTCTGAAGGTGTTTCTAAAGAGAATGTAACATTACCTTTGAAAGAGGATGAGCTTAGTAGTCATTGTGGCCGATGTGATGCTGGAGGTTACACTGCAGGGTCCGGAAACATGGTGAAGAGCGGTGGATGTGGTGGATGCGGTGCTGGCGGTTGTGGTGGTGGGTGTGGAAACATGGTGAAGAGCGGTGGCTGTGGGGGTTGCGGTGCTGGTGGATGTGGTGGTGGGTGTGGAAATATGGTGAAGAGCGGTGGATGTGGCGGATGCGGTGCTGGCGGTTGTGGTGGTGGGTGCGGAAATATTATAAACAGTGGTGGCTGTGGTGGATGCGGTGCTGGCGGCTGTGGTGGTGGGTGCGGAAATATTGTAAACAGTGGCGGATGTGGTGGATGCGGCGCTGGCGGTTGTGGTGGTGGGTGCGGAAATATTGTAAATAGTGGTAGTTCTGTTGGTGGAATCGTGGCAAAGAGTGGTGGCTGTGGTGGTGGCTGTGGTGGTGGCTGTGGCGGCGGATGCGGCGGTTTTGGCCATAAAACTGCCCAACCAAATGAAGGCAACAACCAAAGTGATGCAATTATTGCTTGAGGTATTATTACGGAATGCCTAATAAAACAAAGTGTTTGTATTGTATTACTTTCCTTCCATATAAAGAAAGTATAATACCCAAAGCCTAAAAACCAATAATACACACATGATTGTATGCCTGTGTGAATATCTTAGTTTGTGTGTCTTATTATCTGTAAAGTGTTTGGCTGTATATATTCACAAATAAATGTGCACTACCTTTTTATTTCTTTTCAATTTCAAACCTATATATATTAAGTCCATTTGCGTTAATGTTGTCTCTGATGATGAAAGTCTCATGTTGACTAATTTAGGAAATGGTCATTGGTTTATAGTCAAAGAATACCCTCTCCATTGGTATGAGGTATTTTGACGAAGTTTAAAGCAAAGTCATGAGAGCTTATGCTCAAAGTGGACAATATCATACCATTGGAGAGTCGTGTTTATCTAACCATCTCTATTTTATAGGTGCAGAAATAGGCTTAAAACACCCCGAAAAACTTCCCTCGAGCTCGAACCGAGACGAAACTCGTTCATCCCTCAACCGGCCACAGGAACCATAGTTTATAGTCACAATGCTCAGAAAACAGTCTACATGGTTACATACAAAGCCAATATATAATGGAGAAAGAATGGCGGTGAAGGAAATCACAATGGCTTTTTTCCCACGAGATTCAGAACATAAAATTCAAAGATTAAATTGGACAAAAAAAAAAGAAAAAAAAAAGACGAGGAACAGAAACAAACACCTGAGAATGAGGAGATCAAAATGATTCCGGCAACAAGTGGCTGTCGTCTAATGTACACATCTCGTTTTACCGTCGTCCACGGCGGCGATTTAGCCATCTTACCGCCGCATTCATCGGTACTCCACTAAAATGTACAGTGGCTTCCCTCTCAATCTCTCTCGACCCTGCCAAAAAAGTTTATTAAATATTAAATATTTTTTATTTTTTTATTTCTCTCTCTCTTTTTATTTGTTTATTTATTTATTATTATTATTTTGTGTAGAAGAACATAGGAGTATATGAACCAAGCTTACCTTTAAATCCGGCAACTCAATTACGCATGCGCATTCAACCACTTCGGCTCCAGCTCGTTCTACCAAACAAAACATTGCTTTGTGAGATTATAAATTGTAAATATATATTACATAATTAAACATACATTTTTACTAACTACTTTTAACTTTAATTATTTAGTACTAAAGTTAATTAATTAGCATAATTACGATGAACATACCTGCTTGATAGGAGATAAAACTTAAGTGAAATAAGTAAATTAGTCTAATTAGCACAAAATAATAATAATAATAATATAATCCAAGGTAAAAACATTTGTTATTCCACAGATGAAAGCAAGACATTAAACTCATTAAAACGAAAAACATAAAACTCATTAGAATTTGAAAGGGAATACAAAGGTTTTTCATTTTTGAAAATGTGTGAACCTTGAAAATGGAGAACTTGAAAAGTCTTTGAGCAAGTCAAAGAATTGGGTGGGGGTGGAGATGAGGATAAGAAGTATAATCGCCGTCCCAACCTCATTTATTCAATGGGGAGGAATCTCACCCCACTCCTTCTCCCATTCCCTTTTTGTAATACCCATTCGGGGCGAATCCCATGAAACTCTAGCCCCGCAGGTTAAATGGACATCTCAACGTGCTACAATCTTCTCAAGCTAAGTTATTTATATATTTGTTGTTTAAACCATGTCTATCACTTATTTTTTAGTAATAGTGAGACCGTTTCCACTTTTTTCCTCTTGATGACATTATTGCTGCATTGAGTTGACTAGTTTATTTTTCTCACTAACTCTTTCTCAAACATATTCCCATGACATCAAATAATAGTGGGTTTGAGATATAATAATTGTGTAATCTTAAACGTGCACTGTCAAGTTTTTAATAGCATTGGATGACATGTAGGTAGAGGTCTTTGTGCCTTCCCACATTGCTCAATCCTTTCCAAAACAAATTTCAAATCATCGTAGTAGAGGAAGACTTGTTGTAAAGACCGAAAATTCAAGTAAGATTTATGTATTTTCTCCCTCAATTAACAGATTTTTTTCATTTAAAAATTAGGCTTAATTCTCATTTAGGAAGTTTTTGGTCAATTGAGTTTATTTGAAAATGATGTATGTAAGGTTGAGTATGAATTGAGTTTATTTGGAAATGATATATGTAAGACTGAGTATGAGCAATGCACGTATATGGATGAAGATGATACCATGTATGCATGAAAATGATGCACATATATACATACATGAAAGTGATGCATACCTACAAGGTTCGATGAACATAAAATTGGTATACATTTTTTATGTCCAAATTTATTCCTGCCAGAATAATTAATGTTTTAAAAAGATATTTTTTGGAATTTCAAGCGAAAGCCTATTTTAATAGCATTCGATGACATGTAGGTAGATAGGGGTCTTTGTGCCTTCCCACATTGCTTAGTCCTTTCCAAAACAAATTTCAAATCTTTATAATGGAGGAAGACTTGTGGTAAATACCGAAAATTCAAGTAAGATTAGTATATTTTCTCCCTCCATTAACGAATTTTTTCATTTAATAATTAGACTTAATCATCGTTTAGGAAGTTTTTGGTCAATTAAGTTTATTTGGAAATGATGTATGGAAGGTCGTGTATGGAAGCAATGCACGTATATACATGAAGATGACACAATATATGCATGAAAATGATGCACATATATACATGAAAATGATGCATACCTAAAGGATTTAACGAACAAAAATTGATATACATTTTTTAAATCCAAATTTATTCATGCTAGAAGATTTATGTTTTAAAAAGATTTTTTTTTGTATTAATTATTTTAAACTTAAATAAATTTTAAAGTAGTAATTCCTTTACACTAGGATGATTCTGCACTCAAAAAATAAATATATTATTATAAACATTGATATAATAAGTTTAATCTCGCTATGCAATTTTATCTTAATCCATGCATCAAGCAACACATTTAAACTCATTGCCCTGATATTTTTTACTCATCAACAATTCTACCTATTGTAAATACTCGAGCCTAGACATCCTGTTATCCGACCTACAACCACTCCACAAGTTTTGTATCATCTCCTCGAACACTTATGGTTGATGTATGGGTTAACTTATAATTGCATAGTAAAATTAAACTTACTATACTCGAGTGCATAAGCATACTTTTGGAGTGCAAAAGGAATGTCATTTCATTTTGGAAAGGAATAAGCAATAGAGACCTCTCCGAACATGTCATCAAATGCTATCAAGAATCTTTAAATTTGAGATCACAAAATTACTTCATTCCAAACTCATTAATATTGATATCATAGGGACGTGTTAGAGGAGGAGTTATCAAAGAAGCCAATCAATTGGCCTTGTGTAACAACATGACATCAACAGGCAAGAAGCGAAAACGACCTTACTACCTCTAAAAAATGATACACATGCTCCAAATAACTATGACCATGAAAACAACCCTACTTGAAAAGATTGCGCAGTGATTGAAGGAAAATTAAGAAACAAAGGGAACTCGACACCAAAAAAAAAAAAATATATATATAATAATAATAATAATAATAATAATAATAATAAAATAGTAGACCAACTTAAACAAATATCGATTTTAGACGTTGAGAATAATATCATAGAATTTTAACCAGATATTTGAACAATATTATCTTTTCTAAAACTTATATATTTTTATTTATTTATCTATATTTAACTAATGCTAGTTAACAATATACATTACTTGTCAAATTGTATTTTAGATTAGTTCATATTATAATTTTAAATCATTTGTATTTAAAAAGGTTAACATTTAAATTTAAAAAACAAATTAATCATATACAAAGTAACAAATATAAATGATACCTTCTTAATTTAATAAAATAAAATTAGTTCGAGAAATAACATAAATTTCTCAATTCAATTACTAAATGCATTTAAGTAATTTTAATTTTTAAATTTTTTTTTTCTTTTTTCAGTAAGTCCACACAACCATGCAATTAGCTATAAAACATTTTTCTTTTTTACTTTTACATTGCCTAATTTTTCCCTATAGTTTTAAAATTTTAGGCTAAATATATGTAATTATCCTTAATATTTAGGTGTACTTTTGAGTTTACTTCTCGTAAGTTGAAAAATAATGAAAAAAAAAAAAACTTATCAAATAATCATATCAAAATTTAGCCTAAAGTTTAGATGAAATTATCTCAGAAAAATTTCTAGAACTTATCTGTGAATCTAATATTATTCTTAGTCAGTTGATATTGTCCTATTTGAGCTTTGTCTTTCGGGCTTCCCTTCAAGATTTATAAAAAGCATTTGCTAGAGAAAAGTTTCTACACCTATATAAAGAATGTTTCGTTCTCCTCCCCAACCGATGAAAGATCACAATCCACCCTCCTTTGAAGCCAGCATCCTCGCTGTCACTCGTTATCTCCTTCAATCGATGTGGAACCTCTTCCCCCATCCACTTCCTTCAAGGGTCAGCGTCCTTACTGACACACGACTTCATGTCCACCCCCCTTCGAAGTTCAGTCTCCTCGCTGACACATCGATTGTTGTCTAGCTCTAATACCATTGGTAACAGGCCAAACCCACAGCTAGTAAATATTGCTATCTAGGCTTTCCCTTTTGGACTTTGCCTCAAGGTTTATAATGCATTTGCTAGTGAGAGGTTTCCACACTTAAAAAAAAAAAAAAAATGCTTTGTTCGGGGTCTAGCATCCTCACTGGCACTTGTTCCCTTCTCCAATTGATGTGGGACCCTCCAATCCACCCCCTTAGGGGCCCAACGTCTTTACTGGCACACTGCCTCGTGTCCACCCCCTTTGGAGCTCAGCCTCCTCGCTGACACATAGTCTGGTGTCTGGCTCTGATACCATTTGTAACAGCCCAAGGCCCTCTTTGGGCCTTCCTTTTTGGGCTTTTCTTTTTGGGCTTCCCCTCATAAAAAATGTTTCGTTCTCTCTCCAACTAAGGTCTAAGGTGGGATCTCGCAATGCGAACGAATTGACTTATTTGAAGAAAATAGGAGCATTCTAGAATAGAATCCATCATTTTCAGACATGAACAGGAATTCAAAAGACAAAATAGGCGGGCAAAGTTAAGGGATTGGAGAAAAAATACCAAGTAAATTGATGGCTGCACAGACGGTGCCGCCGGTGGCAATCAAGTCATCAACAACCAAAGCACGTTCGCCCGCCTCCACAGCGCCAACATGCATTTGGAGGCAATCCCGTCCATACTCCAACACGTACTCTTCAAACATAACTTCACCTGCAAACCAACAACGCCAATCCAACCCATAATTGAAATTTCTCTTTTATAAGCACAAACAAAAACACATCAACATCTCAAAATCATTTCATTGTTTTTAGGGAATCATTTCACATGCGCTGCCTCTTCTACTAAGTTACAAAAGCAACCAATGTGATCTTCCACTTGGGATGTAGTCTTTCCCACTTACATTTTGGAAATGGAGTGTCTTCAACTTAGCTAATGTTGCTGTTCTTGTGACGCGTTTTCTTCCTTTTTGTTATCATGTAAGTAATTCGTTTAGTTAAGTCGATTTAACTCTTTAATTTCATCGAATTTAACCTTTGACTGTTCGAGTGAGGTTTTCCAGATGAATCTTCTACTTGAAATAAGTGGTAAAATTAATATTGTGAGATCTCACATTAGTTGGAGAGAAGAACACATTCTTTATAAGGGTGTGAAAACCTCAACCTAGCAGACGCATTTTAAAAACCTTGAGGGGAAGCCCGAAAAGGAAAACCCAAAGAGAACAATATCAGATAGTGGTGGGCTTGGACGGTAACAAATATACACAAATTGTTAAATCTTTGTTTATGCTGTAAAGATTTGTGTACGGCTAGACAAGACTATTTTTGTGAAAACTAGCTCATGGATACTTATTAGATTTTTTTTAGTTGGATTGAATATTGTACTAAGAAGTTTTGAAACGTCTCGATTTGTGGTCAAGAGCTTGCAACGCATGCTCGAGGAGTTGGTTTCCCTTCCCTTTTTCAAGAAAAGGTTCGATTGGTGTGGTTAGCATGTCTTTATACTACTATTGTTTGGAGAGTTTGAAAGGAAAGAAACAACAAGTTTTCTAGGAGTGGAGTGTTTTGTGATCATACTAATTTAGAATCATTGAAAGGAATAAAAGCATTACCAGGCAATTTCTTTGGTTTTCTCAGTGGCACAAACTTAGCTCCAATGGCCAACGCAATTGGAGGACCAAAAAGAAACCCTCGCGCCTCAATTCCTGAAAATACAATCAACCAAACAGATTCAAATCACCATGGATGAGAAACAAAAGCTTGACTAATTACATTAAACGAAAGCAAGAAAACAAAAATCTTGATTAAACCCAACAGTGTTCGTGTTGGTCAATAAAACAAGCTGTTCAATCAAAATCATACAAGACATTTAATTTCAACTATAGAACAACAATCCATATTCTAAACCAGAATTCCACAAGTTTACAGTCAAGAGCGGCCTAATTGGTGAAGACTAAATATACATTATGTAAGTCAATGAAGACATGAAAATCAAAGATCTGAAAGCATAAAGAAGTGGAAGCTGTAATAACCCATCAAAAGAAAAATGGTGTCCTGAGTTTGGTAAAGTGGTAACCACAGAACAAACTTGCTTCAGCTTTAATAAAAAATGAATAGATCACACTATTATTCAACAGCTTTGAAAAGATGCAATGTTCATATATTATGATGGGGGAAATAATTAGGTAAGTTCATAATTTCAACATCTTGAGAAAAAAAAAAAAAAAAAAAT